AAGGGCACAAGTGCTGGGGATATGCAGTAGAAGGTTGTACCTCCAAGCCTAGCCTGCTAGGATATAAAAGGGAGCCTGAGTTCATTGAGGTGCTGACCTGTTTAGACAATGAGAAAGACAAGAAAGTAGAGGAACCACAGCTGCGCTTTGACATGCACACATCATTAGCATGAGAAGAGATTATACTAACGAGGCCTCTCTAATTTCCTAACAGCTCATTCTGCCATCCTCAGAAGTTATGAAGCACTTTCCTATTGAATAGCTTCTTATTCACAAGTCTCTAAGAAGGTGGTTATTTATGTGAGGGCACATGCAAGAAAAGCAGAGGTGTCTTATCTAAACAAATATGCTATTTGATCTCATCAGGACACCCTGAAAACAAAGCATTTATATAAGTAACTGCCAAACTTTAGTCTGATCACTTTCTGCAATTTGTAGTATTCAAGCCTATCATATGCTAGAAAAAGCTCCATTTAATTAATAAGGAAAAGATCTATATGTGTTCAAATGTTTGAAAACCCCCAAGTAATTTAAAAGGTTAAAATTAAAATCCATACTAAAACAGCATAAGCACTATCCCACGGCTTACAGAACACAATATACCCCCCTTGTGGTCTAGTGAAGAAAGCAACTGCTACTTTCAATCACAGTGATAAAAGTTATCTTGAAATAAACAGAGGTTTATAATATTATGTATGGTGTGAAGAAAGTCAATAAGAGTGTTATTTACCACTCCACATAATAAAGGAGTCACCCTATGAAATTAATAGGCAGCTGGTTTAAATCAAACATAAGGAAGTACTTATTCTGACCAGGGGTGGGGGATTGTAGGTCCTTATACAAGACAAAGCTCTGAATATCAGGTCACCCTAACTTCTTAACACAACACACAGTCAACCTGTAGAACTTGTTGCCAGGGAAGTTCTGAAGGCTAAAACTATAACAGGGTTCTAAAAAGACCTAGATACATTCATGGAGAATAGGTCCATCAAGGACTATTAGCCAAGATGGTCAGGGATACAGCTCTATGGCCTGGGTGTCCTTAATCTTTGACTGCCACATGCTAGGAAAGGACAGCAGGGGATGGCTCACTTGATAACTGCTGTAATAAGATGAGGGCCTGAAACAAAAGCCCATGTAGCAGAGGCCTGGTGTGAGGCCTGAGGCCTAGCCAACAATGGTCAAGACTGCTAATATAAAGCAAAGCTAAGCTGTGAGCAAGAGGCAAGCCACTGCTCACAGAACTTGGCACAAACAGGGCTGATAGGGTAAAACTCTAAATGGTAATAGACACAGATGTAAAGCAGTAATTGTTACTAGGTACCTGCTCTTAAAATACTAATTGGCATGGGGTATAGATTGAAAGCACAGACCAGAAAGATGGTAACAACACCTCGTTAAGAATCACCTTGGTACCTACACATTCCCCACAGATAACAAGGACATACTGACCCAGGTTCAGGATAGGGTCTAAAATGACAGCCAGATGGATAGAGATGTTCTAATCGAACCATCAGATGCAAGGTGATAGGTGGTATCTAGGTTACATCAGAATGTGGCAACCTGATACATCAGGAGTGATGTGTAACTTGTTTGTACCTGTATAAAAAACTGTGTTTTAGAGGAGCTGTCTTTGTCCAGCCTAGCTGGCAGTGAGCCCTCTCTCTGAGTCATGTCCATTGTCAGGGGTACATATGCATAGTGGTTTGGTAGAGTCTACTTACAACTATTTACCGTACGTCGTTTGACAATAAACCCAGCCTGGTGCCTTTAATCCTCATCTGATTTTGTGGTCTTTGGGAGCTCTCTCAGAGTCTGCTGTGTTGATTACTTGCACAAAATCAACACAACGCACAGGAAGAGCACAAGCCCGCAGCTGAACAGTTATCATCACTGGACATACCAAGAGACCTGTGCTGGTGTCTTCTGACTACTAGAGCTGCCTGTTCTGTTCATTTCCTTTGAAGCATCTGGACCTGGCCATGATTAGAAGACAGGACACTGGGCTAGACTGACCACTAGTCTGACCTAGTAAGGCCATTCTTATGTTCTTACTACAAGACTTGCCCAGCATTGCTTGGGTCCTTCAGGGCAGGAGCCTGGAAGTGTGGGGGTTGAGGCAGGCCAGGGTGGCGAGGGCCGTACTGCTCAGCTGGCAGCTGCTCCCTGAGGCTGGAACACTCGTTGTCCTGCTGCAGTCATTCATGAGTAAACTGTCCCTGCTATCATGCTCCTCCCTTTCCGTTTGATGAGAAATATTCACATTCCAGGCACATCTCAGTCTGGCACAACCAAATCCAGGCCTTGCTTTAAAGTATGATAAAAGAAAACCACATGCCAAATTTGATAGTCTTAGCTCTTACTGTTTAGGAGAAGTTCTTGAAAAAAGGGACTCACAGACGGATGGACACAGAAAGAGATGCACAAACTCTCTCAAATTAAAAAGACAATACCATACAAAGAAAAATTAACAGTGTTTAAAAACATATAGGAACATGATCAATCTCTACAGTTGAGAAAAGCTCAAGTAGTTTCAAGTTTCTACTGCTGTTCCCAAGACTTCCTTGACAATTTGAGAGATTTTTACCTCCCACTTTTCTAAAGTGGTTTTCCCTGTTACTATGGGAAAGATCCACAAGAATCAAAAAATTGTGAAAAATACTATGCATGAGGTATACAAGAAAACAATATTTTTTTCCAACCTTATTCAGTTATGGTGCACTTAAGAGTTACCTGTACAATAACATAACAAATATTCACACAGAAGCATGTTTTTAAGAGGATATTGTACCTTTAAATCTGCAGCAAAGACTGCATCACTCAATAAAGAGGGCTCACTGGGGCTTGAGAAACAGATGTCAAGGGACATTCTAAGGGCTGGTGGTTTGTGATTTTATCTTTATAAAACAAGCAATTGCCCTCAGGTGACAGGAGTCTTTTCAATCTCTTATGAGCAGCCCTCAAGAAATGGGTCAAAATGGTTCTCATATGAGGATTCAGGCCAGTATCATCCCTTACTACAGAAAACAAAGCAAGGGAACAAAAGTAATACATCTATAGCTTTGAAACTGCAGACATCTGCATCACCACCTTGAGGCAAGGGGAGGGAAGGATGATAGATTATGCATAAGTGACCCATGCGCGTACAACCCCAAAAAGAAGAACTTTAGAAAGGAAACTTTGCAATCCACTTACATTATTTAACTGGTTTAAGAATATCTACATACTTTTTCTTTGCCAAAAAGTGGGTATTTAAATCGGCTATCTGGATACAGCTGTTTAAATGCTACACAATTTAAAGTTTGCACCCCAAAACCAAACTGTGGCTCATGGCCTTAAAAGCTCAAGCATTCTGCAAGATAAATGACGCAAATTCAACCTTTAGGGACATAATAGTAGATAATGCATGCAGATTTTGTGTGTTTGCGTGTGTATTATTCGAAGTTAACAAGGTAATCTAATGACGCCTATCTATGGTATATACTGTACACTCAAGAGATCAAAAGGAGATATTAACATTTAAATGAACTGTAAATATAATTATGACACTGTATTGGATTATCTTGGAAACATATTGCTAATCACTTGTTAATGACAGTCAAAGGGTACTTTTGCCTTATGCTAAATAAGTCTCCAGGATAACCTACTGTTCACTTAAGGACTTTAAGCTGTCAAGAGAAGCCTGGCTTTGTATAAATGTGTCTTGGACCTGATCCTTTTTCTCTCGTATCTGCTTAAATGCTCCAGGGGCAAAGCTTCAAGTTGCAAGATTTGAGATCCCAGGATACCCTGACACCCCTAAAATGGACACTGAATTGATAACTCTGGACTGATGCTGTAAGAACTATTTGCAACTAAAAAGCTCCTCAACACTACTGTGAAATCTGATCTCCGAACTATATTCATGACTGCTATGATACTAACCTTTTAACCAGTACTATCTTTTCTTTCTTTATTAATACACAGTAAGAATTGGCTATAATAGTGTATTTGCAGTAAGATCTGAAAAATTCATTAATCTGGAGGGCACTGTGACTGATCCCTTGGGACTGGTAGAACTTTCTTATGTGATGAAGAAGACCTTCAGTCAGCCCCATCACATTTGACGTGGATGGTAGCCTACTGTAAGGGAACTGTGTAGCTGGCTACTGGGTAATCAGTTAGGTGTCACAGAACCTGTTTTGTGCTGGCCTGGTAAATCTAAATATTGAAATAACTACCAGCTTTGGAAACTGGCTCCCTTATTTTTTGCAGTTTGGCCCTAACTGAGTAACCTCAGCTGGCTCCTCTCGGACTCCAGTCCAACAAACACTGTTGATATTTGCTAATTTTAGATCACTAGTTTTCTACCTCTAGGAATCCACAGATCATGTATAAGGCAGGGATGTGAATGGTTAGCCAGTTAACTGTTAAGCATCACCCTTACTGAATAGTGCACACCGGTTACACTTAATTGGTGGCCCAGGAACAGGCTCCCGGCCCAGCCAGAACAGCCCCCATCCATGATGGTCAGAGCCCGTGCTCCAACTCAGCCAGAGCAACCCCCATCCATGACAGAGCCTGCTCACATTTAAGCGGTTAACTAATTGAATATGACATTAAGGGTTAACTGATTAAATGTGATTTACAGCCCTAGCATAAGGGTCTGTAAAAGGTAATCACAGGAGTCTGAAAATGAAATAAGGTTGAAAACCACTATTGTAGATACAAGCTGAAAGCAAACTCCCAGCCTAAGAAACCATCTGTTATATTTGATGCCATGTCATACAGAAAAAGGCATGTAAAGTGGAGAACATTTTCCAGCTTAGTGCCTAGAATTGGACCCCCAAGCTAAACTCATGATTAAACCAATGAGAGAGGCCTGATTTTCAGTCAGCGGACTTGTGGGTGCCCAGCGCTACAGAAAGTCTTACTTTAAAAACCCCACGCTGGAAAATTTTAGCCCTTTCATACTCAATATTTGTTTTCCTATTCTAACTTAAGGTTTTAAAAAAGCTTACTTGACAGCTTCCGATACGTTGTTGGACGTGTGTCCAGATAAAGCATCATGAAGGTTTCGGATGAAGTAATCTCTGTAGTCTTCAGGAAGGGCCATAAATGTTCCTCCCATCACGATGAATTCCACCTTATCCACACTGTGGCCCAGCTGCTTCAGCTAAAAAGTTAAATATAGCTATGAGAAAAACTTTGTATCTAAGGGACTCCAGTGAAAACCTAGCACACCAAATCTTTCATAACTTTACTCAAATGCCAAATCAATAATGCTTTTGTGTACAGCAGCCTTAATAACCCTATTCTAAGAGCCTTGATTTACAAAGACAATTTAAAGAGAAATGATGTGTGGAAGAGTGATCTAAATAGATGGGATAGCACAAGTGACAGTGCAATGCCACAAGAAAGCTCAAACTGGAAGAAGAGAGTTCAAGGAGATGGGGAGAGGAGGACTACACAAAATTCAGAGATAACAGAAATTCAGAAACAACAGAACATCACTGGTCATCAGCTACAACCCCCAGCAAAAATCCCTCCAGCGCATCATTGGCAATCTACAACCTACCCTGGAAAACAATCCCTCACTCTTAAGAGCCACATAAGCCACACCATCAGGAATCATCCACCGGCACATCCTGTAATCTGATCTATGCCATCAAGTGCCAACAATGCCCCTCTGCCATGTAAAGTGGCCAAACCAGACAGTTTCTGCACCACAGGATACATGGACACAAATCAAACATTGGGAATGGTAACACACAAACCTGTAGGGGAAAACTAACCTCCCTGGACATTCAGTAATGGATTTGAAGTAGCCCTTCTTCTACAAAAGAATTTCAAAGCCCAATTACAAAGGGAGACAGCTGCATTGGAATTAATTTGCAAATTCAACACTATCAACTTAGGACTGTATAAGGATCTCAACTAATTACATAAGACCAGCCATCCTGAGTCAGAGGAAAGATCCATCTAGCCCAGTATCCTGTTCTCCAACAGTGGCTAATGACAGATGTCCAGAGGGAGTGAACAGAACAGGGAATCATCAAGTGATTCCTGTCACCCATATGCTAGGGACACCACTCCTATCCATTCTGGTCAATAAGTAGTCATGGACCTAACCTCTGCGAATGTATCTAGCTCTTCCATGAATTTATCTAGTTCTTAATGCATTACAAAAGCAATTTCTCCTCACTGGATATTCACATCTCCAGACCAAATGCTGTGAATGACCCACTTCCACCCTGACTTGATTTAGCTTCATTAACACAAGCAACTTCTTCCTTATATATACTCCTGCTTCTGTAACTACCACTCCAATTCATCTGATGAAGTGGGTTTTACCCATGAAAGCTTCTGCCCTAGTAAGTCTAAGGTGCCATAGGACTCCTTGATGTTTTTGCAATACAGAATAACATGGCTACCCCTCTGAGACTTTCCATAGAAATTGAACATAAGAACATAAGAACAGCCGTACTGGGTCAGACCAAAGGTCCTTCTAGCCCAGTATCCTGTCTGCCGACAGTGGCCAACACCAGGTGCCCCAGAGAGGGTGGACCGAAGACAATGATCAAGCGATTTGTCTCCTGCCATCTCTCTCCAGCCTCTGACAAACAGAGGCCAAGGACACCATTTTATCCCCTGGCTAATAGCCTTTTATGGACCTAACCTCCATGAAATTATCTAGCTTCTCTTTAAACTCTATTATAGTCCTAGCCTTCACAGCCTCCTCTGGCAAGGAGTTCCACAGGTTGACTACACGCTGTGTGAAGAAGAACTTTCTTTTATTCGTTTTAAACCTGCTACCCATTAATTGGTCCAATAAACGATATTACCTCACTCACCTTGTCTGTCTAACATATGAAACTGACTAAATGTTATTTAAATTGGCTAAACAGCCAACTCTAAACAGCGTTTAAGATTGCAAGTCTTATGAATAGCAACTGACTGCTACAAGCTTTCAAGCTCTTCCTCAAATCAGAAAGGTACAGAGAGTGTGACACCTAAGCCCACACAGAATCATACAACACTAGGACCAGAAGGGACCTTGAGAGGTCACTGAGTCCAGTCCCCTGGCCTTATGGCAGGGGGCTACTTCTCCGGGGGCGGGGCTGAGGAGCTGGTGCCCATTGCAGGAGGCGGTCTGGTTGCTGTGGCACAGCCTCTGGGTGACGCTGTGCCGTGCCTAGCGCGCTGCCCTGGTCCCTGCAGTGCGCCCTGAAGAAACATCCCTCTCCCTTCCACGTCTGGTCTCTCTCATCCACAACCCAGAGCAGCACCGCCCTGCCGGGTATCAGTCTGTGGGAGCGTTGGGCACTGCTTTCCAACTTCCTTTACCAAGTGATAACGTGTCTGCTTTCAAACCAGCTTTTCCCATTAAAATGCATGCCCCTTGTTCCATGAGGCTATGTTACAAATTGTCACCTCATTCCCTGCATGATAGGAGAGCGATCACATCTCTTCAAGTGTGAGTGTCTTAGGCTGAACATATTGAACCACCCCCAATTTCAAACAGTGATTTCTAAAGCCAGAAATGTCTGCTATTTTGGCATCCAGGAAACAATTTCACCATTCACACTAATACAGGTGTTCATGTGTAGTGTATCAATGTGTTATTAAATAATAACTGAATAAAATAATATTAAATAAATAATTAAAAACAACATCCATGTTTTGATTGTTTTTTATTTGGACCTCAAGTGTGTAGTCGGCCCCCGAACTGCTGTTTGATAGTTAATGCGGCCCTCGGGCTGAAAAGTTTGGAGACCCCTGGTCTAGACCATCCCTGATAGACATTTAATTAACCTACTCTTAAATATCTCCAGAGATGGAGATTCCACAACCTCCCTAGGCAATTTATTCCAGTGTTTAACTACCCTGACAGTTAGGAACTTTTTCCCAATGTCCAACCTAAACCTCCCTTGCCACAGTTTAAGCCCACTGCTTCTTGTCCTATCACCAGAGGCCAGGAAGAACATTTTTTCTCCCTCCTCCTTGTGACGCCCTTTTAGATACCTGAAAACTGCTCTCAATATTCTCTTTTCCAAACTAAACAAGCCCTATTTTTTCAGCCTTCCTTCATAGGTCATGTTCTCTAGACCTTTAATCATTCTTGTTGCTCTTCTCTGGACTTTCTCTAATTTCTCCACATCTTTCTTGAAATGTGGTGCCCAGAACTGGACACAATACTCCAACTGAGGCCTACCGTAAATGAGCGTATATAACCTGCACCTGGGCATAACCCGCAGTTTTTCCTGAATGTGTAAAAAAAAGGGTTCGATAATCCGTGGATGTGTATAACCTGGGGGTTGTATACGCTATTTTAAGGTAATTGCACATACCAGGATAAACTGCAGGAGGGGAGCCGCACTCGTGCCTAGGCTCCATGCAGTCGCAGCCAGGCGCAACCCACCCTTCTTCGGGCGGGGGGAACAGAGAGTGCAGCGCAGGCGAGTAAAAATAAACTTGTATACCCCGCGGATATGTATACCTGGAGGGGAGCAGGGTTTAAACCTGAGGGCTACATACGCTAAAACACGGTAATCAGCGCAGAGTAGAGTAGAAGAACGACTTCTCATCTCTTGCTGACAACACACCTGTTAATGCATCCTAGAATCATGTTTGCTTTTTTTGCAACAGCACCACACTGTTGACTCATATGTAGCTTGTGGTCCACTATGACCTCTAGATCCCTTCCTGCTGTACTCCTTCCTAGACAGTCGCTTCCCATTCTGTATGTGTGAAATGTCTATATATACAGTGCTGCAGCTGTACTCCTACAGATGCGCTACTGCAGTGCATCTGGTGAAAAGAATTTGAACAGCAGAAACTATGTCAGCAGGAGAAGCTCTCCTGCCAATATACTGCTGTGCACACAAGCACTTCAGCATAACATATGTTGCTCAAGTGGGTGCTTGCAATTTGATGTTACAACATCATAATTAAACATCATGTATTTATGTATGAAAACAATGTAATATAGAGGGCAGAGAATGAAAGATAAATTTAAATAGATATATTTACATGTGAACAACTCAAATCTCACCAGACTGAACAAAATAATTCAGTAACCGCTGAGATTGCTGTCTTAATTGAAAAGCTGTTTTCAAAATGCTGGAAACTAACAGCACTATTGCAACTATTTTCAAACACTACATGTTCTCTTCATTGCAAATGTTTACCTGTTCAACTCGATGTCTTGTCTGGAGATAAGGATCGTATCTGGCACGAATGGCCCTCATAGACGTTGGCTAAGGGAAACATGAGGATTCATTTTTAAACCTTATTTCTTGACAACATACTGAGAAGGAACAAGACATGTGAATCTTTAACTATTAGTTGGACACTCTATTTTCACAAACATAATTATTAAGATCTTCATCCTATTATAATAGTTTGCTGAATGTTAACCAATACAAGAAATCAGATTCAAATCTGTATTTCACCTACATATTGTAATGCAAGTGAAATAGGTCATTTTGTTGGTGTTCACATCATTTTTACTTGAGCACCAGTTTTCGAGGTTAGACCCAACGAACCAGTTTTTTATTATTGTATCTCTGCAAATTCTGATTATAAAATTACTGAGTTGTCTTGATGCTCCATTCATTATTGTCTCCTACTCTCATTTCACTGCTTTTTCTCCTTTATGATGCTCCCTGTGTATGGAATGACTTGTATTTGCTATCTAGCACCCTCTTTTCATTAAATCCCTAAAAACTCATTTCCATGGTTATTTGAGTTTCTTAGTGCATCACGGACTGTCTCTTTTTATCTTACACAGTGTCAGAGACACTGAATACTAATTGAATATATGAAAACACACTTAGGCACACTTGTGTTAAAGAGTCTCCAATCACTGTGAATTAGGAAAGTTTTTCTGTACATACATACTTCCTAATTTGCACTAATGATGAAGACATTGTCAAACACTGAATATTGGATAATAGCAAGTGAACAAAATTAAAGATAAAAGGACATCTTAGTCTACTTAGCTCATTTACTTTGACAATTGTTACTTATTTTCAGCTATGTTTGATACTTTATAATATACTAGTAGATAGAATGAATCATTTTTAAAAAATGTTTAAGTAATTTAGTCTCACTACAGCATCTGCTTTACAACTTTTGCTGAGCTGCAGGAAAGAACTTTTTTTGCACTATGAAATATGCAGATTAGTGAGGTTTTAGTGCGGATGTGTCAAACCCCAGAGTAGCACAGAACACTAAAGATACTTAGTAAGATACTTGTAAGTGAATTTTTTTCTTATTTTAGTTACAGATTATAGAATCATAGAATAGAATCAAAGAATCATAGCTCTGGGAGAGACTTCGGAAGGTCATTAAGTCCAGCCCCCTGCTCTAGGCAGGACCAATCCCAACTAAATCAAACCGGCCAGGGCTTTGTCAAGGTGAGACTTAAACACCTCTAGGGATGGAGACTCCACTACTTCCCTGGGTAACCCATTCCAGTGCTTCACTACCCTCCTAGTGAAATAGTTTTTCCTAATATCCAACCTGGACCTCTCCCACCACAACTTGAGACCATTGCTCCTTGTTCTGTCATCTGTCACTACTGAGAACAGCCTCTCTCCATCCTCTCTGGAACCTCCCTTCAGGTACTTGAAGGCTGCTATCAAATCCCCCCTCACTCTTCGCTTCTGCAGACTAAACAAACCCAGTCCCTCAGCCTCATCTTGTAGGTCATATGCTCCAGCCCCCAATCATTTTGGTTGCCCTCCGCTGGACCCTCTCCAATGCGTCCACATCCTTTTTGTAGTGGGGGGCCCAGAACTGGACACAATACTCCAGATGTGGCCTCACCAAAGCCGAATAAAGGGGAATTCCCAGCCCCCAATCATTTTGGTTGCCCTCCGCTGGACCCTCTCCAATGCGTCCACATCCTTTTTGTAGTGGGGGGCCCAGAACTGGACACAATACTCCAGATGTGGCCTCACCAAAGCCGAATAAAGAGGAATAATGACATCTCTGGATCTGCTGGCAATGCTCCTCTTAATGCAACCTAATATGCCATTAGCCTTCTTGGCTACAAGGGCACACTGTTGACTCATATCTAGCTTCTCATCCACTGTAACCCCCAGGTCCTTTTCTGCAGAACTACTACTTAACCAGTTGGTCCCCAGCTTGTAACTATGCTTGGGATTCTTCCGTCCCAAGTGCAGGACTCTACACTTGTCCTTGTTGAACCTCATCAGATTTCTTGTGGCCCAATCCTCCAATTGTCTAAGTCACCCTGGACCCTATCTCTGCCCTAAAGCGTATCTACCTCTCTCCCTAGCTTAGTGTCATCTGCAAACTTGCTGAGGGTGCCTTCTAGCCATCTTTCTATCCATCTTACCGTCCATTTATCCAATCCACATTCCCTTAACTTGCTGGCAACAATATTGTGGGAGACCATATCAAAAGCCTTGCTAAAGTCAAGGTAGATCACATCCACTGACTTTCCCACGTCCACCGAGCCAGTTACCTCATCATAGAAGCTAATCAGATTGGTCAGGCACGACT